AGACATGCACATCTTGATCGATCGTGCCGTATCGTGCTGGCCCATGAACCTAAAACCTCAGGCCCAGCACGGCCCATGCCAACCCGGTCCAAGTTCGTGCCAAGCCATGGACAGCACGACTCGATATAACTAGTGGAGGAAGTTAAGGCTGTCTATGGCCTGGGTCTGGTTTGGGACAAGGTATACCAATCCCATTCTGATTATTAATCAGGGCAATAAAAGAGACCTAGAACTGAACCAGCTATTTAATTGGGACAATCGGGTCTGACCCATTACACTTTAGTCTTGACACTTTTAATTACCAATTATGATAACAACTTAAAAACTATGATTTTCTATAACCTTAATAAAATTACAGAAAAATGCTAAACATATGATATGTTAATGAAGTATGTGTTTCTAAACATAACCATCTTACAAATTGGTTATAAATTGACCCTTTTAAACAAGAATATAAGGAAATTTGCATAAACAAATGAAATCAGTATATACTATTATGGGTTAATTATTTATATACCCTGTATAATTAGGAAACTATTTAGATGTGGCCAGAACTGTCAAAATCTATGTATACATATTTTGTTGAATCACCCCACATAACATATCTAGGACCACTGTTAATACCTTGCTCCCAATGTTTTTGTAAATGAAAACCCAAAAATGTTGTCTTAAATGTTCATGTTCTTCGAACCCTCAATAGGGGAACAAGAGAAAACGAGAAACACCATAAACAAGAATTCAGGAAAAAATTAAAAGAAAAAGACTTTCTTTTTTTTGGGCTTCGCTAAAGAAACATATAAATTAAAACTTGAAAGAATGAAAAGGAAAAAATAAGCAAAAAATTAAGAAAGGTTGACGTCGTACGCAAAGGGGCCGGAAGGTAGAGCCTCCCTCGCTCAGTCGTTCTCGTAGTAGTAGGTGCTTGGGTTGCAAGGTTGCAGCTACTGCTCTGAGCTTCCCTTTGACTTCAGAACTTTATTATCTAAGGGTGTTGAGGCCTGAGAATCCATTAAAACTTTCAGGGTTAAAATGCACGAGAGATCAATCAATTAAGTGGACTCCTTGGTTGAGAGGTCGGATTGGTAGGGAAGAATGAAATTGAAAGTACATTTAAGTAATTAACTCTATTATTATCTAGGTTGGTAACAGCAAGAACCAGCCCCGGCTTAATTCATAATCTAGACAAAATTACATAACCAGAACTAACATTATCATCAGTTCAGAACTCTAGCAGCAAAATGGTTTTCACATGAACTATAGCAGCAAGAGTATTCCCAATCTTTTGGGAATACAAATACAAATACATATAAAATATTTGGCTCAGTTCAGGAGGAGTATAAATACAAATATGTAGAGTGTAAAATCTTGTATTTTATATTATTTTGTATGTAGTTATTATATTGTACGTATTTGCATTTGTGTTCTTTTCAAACTGAGCCTTAGGCCGTATTTGGTTGCAATGCATATAACTTTGTACTGATGCAAAACTATGGTCATGCAAATAATCTGAGTGTAAATTCTAATATATTTTTGTTTTAAATTTTAACTTACTTTATTTGATTCCAATACAAATGAAGTAAATTAAGACATGAAACAAAATAAAGTAAAACACAAAACGAAATTAATTGAGAATTTACATTTTTTCAATTTGCACTTCCATGCATTTGTACTAGCGCAAATAAAATTGCACTGCAACCAAATGCAACCTTAGGAAAATTTGTATAGAAGTTCAGCAAAATGGCTTTTACATGTGCTATACTTTTAGTTTGGCAAAATAGTTGAGATGTTTGGTAAGTTTCTTTTCAATATATATTTTTAATGATTCATGCAGCTATACAATAAGATTAGGCCCTTACCCATAACCCCTCAACCCTAGTGATAATACTATTAAATATAACCAACCAGAGACTAGTAGGTGTTTGGCATCAGTGCTGAGAACCTCACATTGTTTTCTCATAAAAATGGTGTTGGGAATGTGGAGTTGTAAGCACTTTTTTTTTCTCTTAATTATTTTTTGATTAGAACCGGTGCTGCCATATAGGCGTTTTTTGAGAAAACAATACGCTCTTTGTTTGGTACAGATGCTGGCAGCAATCCATCATTTTCTTAGAAAACATTGAATATAGCATTGTTCTAGACCACATTTTCCTGATTTCCAAAGCATGGTCTAGAGCAATGTTTTTTTTTTCTGTAAAAATGGTACCAAACAAGAAGGCGTTGTTTGAAGTACCACTTTCTTTGATTTGACACCTACATGGCGTTGTTTTCTCAAAAAACGCTATCGATGGCAAACACCCACATTATCAACTGAGCTAAAAGATAAGTTTATATTTGTTTATGGTGTTTTCTTTTGTATGTTTTGGTTGTGGGTGTATGCATATTGGTGGTGACAAACTGCTACCTATTTAAGGGTCTCACCTAACACTAACAGCTTAAGGTTAAGGTTGTAGGTTGTAGGTTGAATGGTTTCTTTTCATCTATTCGACTAAATGGTCTATTGTTCAATCATTACCACCCATTACAATCAATTGAAATTTAACAACTTAAATAAAAACCAATTCAATAACCTCACCTAACAACTTAAACTTTTTAAGCACAATATTTGACGGGATGCCATGAATCTCTCCCCAATCCAATCTAATCTAATACTACTTAAACAAATATTATAATTGATCATTATCATCTAAGGTTTTTTCCCAACTATTACATCAATTTTATTTCGTTAAACCAATCTATTTAATGCAATATCCATTGGAGCTGATTCATCAAAATCAATAAAAAAACGAATTGGCCACTGATGAATTTCTAAGGTTAAAACATGACTTGTAATGCTACTCATAGGTAAAAAACATGACTCCCTAGAAAAGGGGAGTAATTCTAAAAGTCATTTATGACATGGTACTGAATAGGAAACACATAAAAAACCATTGCTGTTAACTTAGCATTATTCACCCAAACATATTTTCCCATACAACACCAATGATTCAAAGCAAAAACTATTATTGGAGGAATGAATTCCTCCACCAAACACCCATTGCCATTTTTATTGTCCGTGTAGGGTAGGTAATATAATTATCAAGCCACCCTGACGTGGAAAGACACAAAAACCCTTTACATGGCCGTATGTAAATTGTAAAGGCAATGATGACAGGGTTTGAGTAGTTCTTTTATTGTTCTTGTAGAAGTATAGCTAACATAAAAAAAAAAAAAAAAAAAACTATTAATTTGATATTTAAATGCTTGTTTGGACAAAAAACTGATTATTGCTAATGCACACCCATTTAGCATTAAAATATTATTAAACAGGAAAACATAATAAAACAAAGAATAACAATTAACAAATCTCATTATTCTATTAACTAGTTTACTTTTAAAAGAAAGAAACTAAAATATTAATTTATTACTATTATTATTAGAGGGTAAAACGAAGTGAAGTTAATAGTTATTGCCATGTGGGGTATTAAAACTTAAAAATAAAAACATGTGAGGTTAACTTAAGGTTCCGTTTGGATAGGTTTCAACATTTGTGCGCTAAAATGTGAAGTAATCCAAACAGGATTAACTGAACAGTTGTCTGAATAAACCAACGGAAGCCTCTGGGCCGCCCCGGTTCAACCGTTGGTGTCAGCGGGCCGAGACTCTTTGGGGTTTGGAGTTTGGACACCCGAACATACAAAACAAAGCCAAGTGTCAAGACTTGACTGCTCACTATAATTTGGTGAATACGGTCGAGATCTCATGACAGTGACTATCCATTCAGCAGGTTCAGATGGAAGATCCTGACCGCTTGATCGACAAGGTTTCATTGTAATCAGTCCATAAATACGAAAGCAACATGGCTGTAGTTATCCGATGGGTAGCGTGACACAGGAAAACTACGCTCCCTCTATTATACGGGTGGGCCCGCGATGGACTGTCTTATTCAATGTGGCATCTATTGCCACGCTCACTAAATTTAAATGTGGTACCCACTGCGCTACCACCATCACGGTCCACTATTTATGGTGCTTTGATCGACATCGTACATGTGGTCCAGGGGACGGGACCCACTCAACATCTAGGAATGTTTGTTACGTTATTGCACCAACTTCAAACGAGACGATCTAAATCTTTTGTGGGTCCCGGTTTATACATATAAGCAATTCCCATGGATTTACGGTTGGCACGGTAAGTAGCGCCGATATTAATGTCGCGTACTACACGTTGGCACGGTAATCGGTGGGCGATGACATAGATTCCAATCTGACGTCAATCAGCAGAACCCAGCGATGAAGCCCACGGTTTTGTTAGAAACAGGCAAAGGATCTCACAAGATAAGCTTCATATCAGCTATAGAATTCTACCGTGGGATTGGGATCACCTTCTGATGAGACACTCCTTTGATCCTTTCCAGGCGGATCCAATGGTCTGGAAAAGATCCGCTCCTGAGAACGTAACCATGACATTGTATGTTTGCCACGTGTACAAACGTTTAACTGGGACGCCGCTGCGTAACCCTGGGTGAGGCCTATACAGATATAGGCATTATTATATGCCACGTCAGCGGGGCTACAGAGGAAGACGAAGCTGGGTCCCACCAAAAAATCCCGGATCTTCTGCCATTGGATTTTCTCTGTCATCCAACAGCCGTAATTCGGTCAAATGTCGGAAATGCCCTTACCTCGTTTTTCTGAAAAGGCGAAAGATGTTATAGCTTCGATGCTATTGTACACCCATTTGATACTCCGTATCTCCATCATACAGTTACTGTGGATTCTTCCGAATCTGAAGCATCAAGCCAGTGGGGCCCATTCCGTGCAGGGGGACCTCGTCGATAATAGCATCGGATTGCCTATTCTTTGCTATGAATGGCTCGGATCGGCATAAAAGTCCGAGACTTTCTTTATATGGAATCTGTAGCAACAAAATTCGATAGATCTCGATGTACTTGATATATTCTCGGTCTGAAAATTCAGAAATAGAAAATTGGAAAAAGAGGATTTATAAGCACTGAGCACTCAGATCTTCTGCAGCAATGGCTTCCCCAACAAAAGTATAGTTTTTAAAAGTACTCAAAATACTCATTCTCTTCTTCTCGCTCACATGAGATAAATTGGATTTCGACTGAGGGAGTTTCAAGTTTGGAGGGAAAACCTGAAAAATTCACGAGCGAGAGCCCATAGCGAGAGAGAAAGAGAGAGAAGAGAGACAGAGAGGAGAGAGGGGGGAGAGAGAGACAGACAGAGAGGAGGAGGGAGGGAGGGGGAGAGAGAGAGAGAGAGAGAAATGTTTGCAGAAGAGAACGGACTTCGGGGAGACCCAAGGCTGCAGGCCATCTCTGAAGCGATTCGAGTGGTTCCTCACTTTCCAAAACCAGGTTTCCGATTGGGTTTTGTTGTGTTTCTTTGTTTCTATTGTGTATGCCTTTGAGCTGTAAATCGGCAGCAGCTCTGTTTTCTCATTTTATTATTTTTTTCTTGTTTCTCATTGTTGCCTTGTGTTTCAGGAATCATGTTTCAGGATATAACAACCTTGCTACTCGATCACAAGGCGTTCAAGGATACTGTTGACATATTTGTAGATCGTTACAGGGACATGGATATCTCCGTTGTCGCCGGTATTCTTCTCTCCTCCTCTCTCTCTCTCTCTCATACACAAACATATTCTGTCTTCTCTGTCTTTGGTCGTTGGGGTCTCCCTCCCCCACTGCAAAGAGCTGTGGGTTCTGTGATAGATTTGAGTCTTTTATTTGAAAATTGTTGTGGGTGGCTTGAAATGTGGGTACATTGGATTTGGTGAGTGTTATTTATTTTAAAAGAAATATTTTTAATCCATGGACTGATCAGAACTGGAATTGCATGTTTGTTCTTTGCCCTGGTTTGCCTTATCTTTTTCTTGGCATTCGCTAAACAACGTATCTCAAGAAATTTCCAATCTACTTCGTGTTTTACACCCCACTGAACCATCGATCTCTCTCTCTCTCTCTCTCTCTCTCTCTCTCCGTTTTTAATCAAAATAGAAACATGCAGACTGAATTCGGTTCCTCCACCACCTTTATTATTATTATTAAATTATAAAAAAATTATGAGTCAGAGACTTAATCTGAGTTCTTTGAACGATTCCGACTCGAAGTTCAAAATACTTTTTCTGGTAATATTTCAGAAGCCTTCATCGCTTCTGGTTCTATATGTGGAAAGTTTAATTCTTTACAAGTTTTAGGGAGGTTGGTCCTGGGCTATTTTCTGGACGTCCCATTTTTGCCACGTGGAGGGATGAACTGGCTTTTTTAATAGCCACGTCATCCCTTTATTTCCGCCTGAATGACAGCGCAGTTAGATAATTTAGAACAACGTTTTTTCGTTCTCTTTCCTTCATATTATATTATAATCTTTTTTTTTCTCTTCAAATAAAAACTTTTTTTGTTTTTGTAAAAGTGGGTCGTACTTGAGTTTTCACAATTTCACCACAGGCACAAGATTACTCGGGTCTCCTGGGACGTCACCTGGTACTTGGCGTTGGGCCCATTCAAAGAGCTCTCCTGGACGGGCCGTCTAGATAATTCCTCCGTGTCTCGAGTTGCTTGGGCTCTTTTAACTTTTTAGAATTTCTTTTTGTTGTTTACTTTTTCATGTGAAGTTAATTTTTCAAATACTAGTCTATCAATCATGTTTTCAGACTTCCCTGAAATCTTCACTCTGTAATCATGTCTGATTTTCGCAACCATTACATGTATCAATGCAACATCGGTTCTTTGTTTGTGCCTCTGTTTGAATCCAATCCCAAGGGGTTTCATGTACACAGCGGTGAATATTAGATGTATTTTAGTTAGAAAATGTTGTGGCAACTATAATCATTTTGATGGTAATTCAATTACTTCTGTTTTTGACTACCTGCTGGCACTGTTCAAATCTAATTGTAGGAGTGGAAGCTAGGGGATTCATGTTTGGCCCTTCCATTGCCTTAGCTATTGGTGCAAAGTTTGTTCCTCTACGCAAACCGAGAAAGTTGCCAGGTAAATATGTCTTGCATTGATGTTGAACCATGGCTCACCCACTACATGCTTTCATAGAGCAGAGACCCATGTATCCTTTATAATTTACAGGCTTGCTTTCCAAGTTGTTTTTCCTGACTCCACTTCTGGTGGTGATGGATGTCCTTTCTATATGTTCAAAGGAAGAAACTTGTTATTTTTTTTGGGAAATTAATAGATTTTAATACAAAAGAATCTGCTGTAGGAGACAGAGTCATAGGTGGTCTGTAAATGTTAAGTTTTGGCATGTATTGTCCTATTGAACATGTTTGATTTACTTCTCTCTTCATATGAATTTTTCTCCTTAAATAGGAGTTCCGTTAAAGGCACAGTTGATAAGGCATCTGCATTAAACTGACATTAATGGTGGACAGTAAAATATTATCTTCATTTTATATGGTTTTTCTATTGAACGACGGTGTAAGGTTTGCTGTTTTTCGTTCACTTATTTTCTCATCCGTATTGTTTTAAAGATGAGTCCTATCGTCACAGGCTCAGTTCATAGAGGAGCTCATAAACCACAAGACAGAAAATTGTGCCCGAGCCAGACTCTTGTCTTTTTGCACGAAATCCCATGTTTTAATTTGTCCTCCTTTGGTTCAAAGTTCCGTGTTGTTCCTGCTCATGATGCCAGTATTTGTCTATTTTATTTGTAATTTGTAGATGCTGATACATGTTTTGGTATTTCGTTAATATTGCACAGATTTGCTGCTGTGGCCTTTTCATATTTGCCTCTGTTTCTGACATTGGGCCTCATATTCATCCTTGAGTTAATATACTTCTCCTACTACTCCTTCATCAATTGTGTGTTGTAATCCTTTCTTTTATTGCTGACGGGTTTTAACAATGCTTATCTTTTCTATCTAAACCTGATGCTTGCCTTGGCCTTGTGTATGTGTTCTTCTCTCTGTGAAGTGTCTGTGATATTTGAAAGCAGTCTACTGTTGTCATCATTTGATTTTCCTTGCATTTTAAGATTGAAGATTACTTCGTTGACCCTTTCGAAATTTCTATCTGTAGGTGAAGTAATATCTGAATCTTATGTATTAGAGTATGGAACTGATTGCCTGGAGATGCATGTTGGAGCTGTTCAACCTGGCGAGAGAGCACTAGTCATTGATGATTTAGTAGCTACTGGTGGTACCCTTTCAGCGGCAATAAGGCTTCTTGGTAAGATTTTCGGTGGTGTTGTTTGTTGTTGCAGACATTGTGCTTGATTCTGTTTTTCTTTATTGTTATTTAGTGAAATATCATTTTCTTTCATCATCTCTTGCTAATTATTTTCATCTCAATGGATTGCTGTTTTACTAGAACGTGTGGGGGCTGAAGTGGTTGAATGTGCATGTGTTATTGGATTGCCAGAGAATAAGGTAACGGTTGAACATTGTAAACTTAGCTCATCTGTTTCACTTGTTATCTCAAATATTTTCATTTATTTTTCTTGTTACCAAATTGCATTTGTTTTCACCTGTTGAATTGAGTATTGGTATTCATAGAATGTCAGCTGAAATGCCTTATGCTTTGTTTCCATTCCCATTATTTTGTAGCCTTCCATCTCTCTCTCTCTCTCTCTCTCTCTCTCTCTCTCTCATTTTGGGTTCTTGCTTTCGATGATGTAATTACTAGAACTCTTGATGTTCCAAATTTGCATTTGTTTGTCCATGTTGCCATTTGATTGAAGGTGTAGACTTGATCTTTGTTTATTTTATTTGGTTGAATAATGGCTGTTCCAAATGTTATTCATGTGACATGCAGTCATTCTCCACTTAAGTAAGAAACTTTGTCTTAATGAATCTTCCATTAGTTTATCATTGGTTTAAGATTCATCTTTGTGGATTAGTTGATGGGTGTTAATTTTGTTTGATTTTGAGATCCAAGAGACTGACTGCATTCTCCTACCTGAAATGTCAACCTGCCGTGGTCTTTCAACTGCCTGGTGTTCTGTTAAATGACAATGTGTTTTTCTTGCATTGACCACATTCATGTTTTATCAATTTTTAGAACATACAGAATCTGGAGAGGAGGTAACTTCTTTGGTCATTGAAAATAATTATAGTTTGACCCTTTTCCAATTTTTGATAGCCTCCAGTTAGTAATTGTTTATCTCCCTCGTGTGTCCTTCGGGCAGGGTGTTGTGATAGGTTAGGCTATTTTAGACTGTGGTTGCAGGATTAAACTTGAGAAGTCATATTATTTGGACCTTTTATTTGGATTCTGAGCCATCTGATATTGGAAGGTAATTAAGAGGAATTGGAAGAGCAATTTATAGCCTACTCTTCTGAGGTGTATGGAGCTTTTGTTTGTTGGACAGAGACATGTACTTTGCTCAAGGGTTGAACTCTGATTCTTTGATGTGGGTAGGATTTGTAGTAGGTGAATAGTGAATACCAATGAAAAAGGATCAGTAGTAGATGTCTTGACTGTTCATCTGATTGGTGAATATTATAGCCACGATCCTTGGAAGAGCTTTACTTAAGAGAAGCTGCAGCTTTGTCTTAAAGTTGGATTTTGTGTCTTGGATTTTCTTTCGTTATATCATATCATTTAACTGAACATATTATTAATGGTTGGCGATTCTGTTCTATTGGTATGTTTGTTGTAGGGGTGTTGGTTTGTCAGTTGATATCTTGGTGTTCTTGTTTCTTGTTCCAGTGACTTTTATTTTGTTTCCGTTGAGAAAAGAATAGAGAGGATCCATTTGTTGTCCATTTGGAAATTTAGATTTAGTACTATAACTTCTCTTCTGTGAGGCTGCATAATTGGGTTCTTTAAAGTCATTCTTATATGCTTAAGCTGTGTTGCTTATCGAAGTTGCATGTTATGCAGGGAGAACGCAGGCTAAATGGAAAGCCATTGTACATCCTTGTTGAGCCCCGTGAACTTTGTTGTTGAGGTATCACTCCATTTTCTGTTGAAAATATGGTTTGGACCTTGTTTTATTGCCTACTTATGTGGTAATTGATTTCTGTTTTATTTTTTACCTCAACTGTTTGGAATGAAAATCATTTAATCATTGATGGTGTTCATTCTTGTCATGCATATAACAACATAAAGTCAAAGAGTTTAAATCATTGTCTGATAATGTTATTTCAAGATTTCTTATGCAAGTCATTGGTGATCTCATTTTGCTAGCAATCTTCTTCCTCCATGTATGATATATGTTTGCGCAGATGTGCATTATATAGAAGGTTGATGCAATTTCACCTAGATATAGACTATTTTATGAAAAGTTTTAAAAGGTTGAAGTCATCAAAAGCATTAGTTTTAATACATAGTTTCCTGGACTATCCCTTCCCAAATGTTGGTTGCTTTCTCTATTGTTAGTCTGGTTGACCCATTTATTGGCCTCATTGTTTATCTGTTTTCATTTTCCAGTTGCATTCTGTTTGGGGGATACACCGCGGACGGACGGGCTATGATCGGACTATGGTCCCAGTCTCTGCTGGATTCCTGTTGCTAGTCATGGAGCCTTGTAAACAAGCTTAAATCTCAATTTTCTTCCTCTTGTATGAGGTTTGTGTTTGCATGCTCCTTTGTACAATTTTGATTTTCATAATAAATTTCTATAGGAGATTTGCAACATTTTAGGCATTTAAATTACATTCTCATTTTGAGACAAAAAACAAGATAGAATGAAGTTATTCTTGATGGGAGATCGAGTAGGGTAATTTATGCTGGATGTAATCTCAATAGCTAAATTCCTGAATCAGAAAATTTTCAACAGCCCATATCTATGGGCTTTCATTGGGTATGGAGAAATAGATTCTCGGGCATTCGGCTCCTCAAAAATGTGTTCCCAGTCTTGTGGGTGTCAACCACTGAATAGATTGTTCGGTCTCTTCTGACTTCTATCTATTGTCGTAACCAGTCTGTGGCTGGACCCTGTATTTTGTGGCTGATCCAGTAGGGCCTAACCGCCCAAGTGGGCTTGAGATTTGTATGAATTTCGAGTTATTCGACAGTGAAGCGATGCATAATCACCTAAAAATTGCTGATTCTTCTTTGGTATCATTTGTGCCTTGTAAGCCTGGGTTATTTTTACATTCAATGCCACCTTGGGTGCCATGTCATCATCCTTAAAAAATTGCATTAAGTTAGAAATCAGGAATTCTCCGAAGAATGGCCAAGAACTATTGATTTTTGAGATCGGCTTCTATTAGGGCAAATCTGAGCCCCCACCGTTATAACAGCATATTTTAACCTTGCATTGGGTACGGAGATATTCTCAATGCAAGTCAGTAAAGTCTGCTTGAATGGGCTTTGCGCTGATTGAACCCGAACTCTTGAGTTTTGGCCAATTTCCTGAAATCACCAAAATTAGCCAACCAAACAAAAATTTCACCCTTCATCCCTCCAGCGTTACATGGCAATGGTTTCCGGAAAATCAACATCATCCCTTGATCTTTGGCCAAAAGCCATAGGTCAAAATTTACTTGACCCATGTGGTTGAGTCATTGGCCTGTTTGATCCAATCATTGGGTCACAAGTTGTACCAATGTTTTTAAAATTGGATTGGACAAAATCCGTTCTGGGTCTGGTTCTCAGGTTGAATGGTCTGACCATCTAATCTGAGTGAGCAGCCCGTTCTGACAAAAATTAAAAAAAATCAATGTTCAACTATACAGGTCATTGGTTTGCTTATCAAATCAGTGGTTTTTAGCTAAAAAATGGTTTTGGGGTGGAATGGAACCAATCAGGTGATCAATTTCTAGTTTTTTCTGACTGTTTGGTCTAGTCTGGTTTTGAAAATACTGGGTTGTATACTAAATGTTTTTACAAATTTTTGAAGGCTTATGTTTTTTGGGAAATTTTTTTCATTACTGTCATTTCTCAATTTTCCTTAAATACCTTTTGTTTTGCTTCAAATGTGGTTTTTAACATTTTTTTACTAATAAGCATTTTTGTATGAAGTTGAAAATTTTTTTAAAATCTTGAGTTTTGGATTTTTTTAAGATTTTAGAATTCAAAAATGTACAAGGATGGTTTGGTGAGTTTGGGAGAAACAGAAGGCTTTTGGAGAGTTAAAAGTCTTTTATTCTCAAACATTTTTAATTTATTTTTTGCCTGCAGGAAATCATACTGTATCAGCTAATACTCTTCGTTACGCCTAAATACAGGTCTGATACGCCCCTGATAGAAGGTCAGCAATCGGCATGACAAAAAAATACAATACAAATGATTTTATAGTGTTTTCCATACTGACGCTTTAAAGATATGATAGGTATTGATACATAAGGCATAGGAATGGAAATAGCAATCAGTATATAAGCCACACGAGATACTTGTACAAATGTAGGGCAACGCGCAAAAGTACCTGATTGTCCAATTAAAGGTTCATGCTATATGTCCAATTTGACGTGGCATCATTATCTTAGGGTCACTGAATCATTAAATACATGGAGTTTAAGTAATTAGACCACTTTTTTTGAAACCATTTATCTAAGTGAATCACTAATTTAAAATTCATATCATGCACAATATTACTTTGAACCATGATCAAAATTTGAATTCAAATTCAATCCAATTAAGATGATCCGAATTTTGAGTTCAATTCATTTTACTAACATGTATTTATTAGTAAAGTTGTTCAGTAGTCAAGACTCGATCTCAAAAGTCTCACAGGATTTATTCCGATCATCTGCTCTGGCTAGTTTAATTTGAATCCAACATGTTATGAAGCTTTGCACCTATTTTCAAGATGCTCCCATCCCCATAAAATATGAATTCACATGGTTTCAGGCAAAAACGATCTAGTGGATTGTAAAAACAAGGGTCATAACAGATTGATTAACATTCTAAAATTAAGAACAGCTCATATCATCATCAGGGATAAAGGAATGAATTCGTCATCATCATGACTTGCAATTTGCAAAGCCATGCTAATAAAACTTGGAGGCTAAACAAGTTCTGTCCAAGCAGAGAAATTGTGAATTTGTGATACAGGATATCAAGGTAAAACTTTATAATCCTAGGAAAAGGGTTAGCTTCTTTAAGATTCAGCCATTCAGTGCTATAAAAAAAATTCAGTCATTTAGAACACAGAACTGGACTTGACAATAAAATTCTGGCGGCGAATGGGGTTCATCACCACCGGCGGTCCTGCTGTACGAGGCCATGCTTGGAACTTCTTATCAGTTTCTTCCCACCAGTCCTTGCTAGTAACAGTTTTGGGGGTGGTGCCTGGATTCAGAACCCAGTTATATTAAACAACTGTGAAGCAAGAGGTTCGATAAGATAAGGCAAAGTTACCTCCGAAAATCTTTTGGTCAGCAATTGCATCATCCAGTGCATATGCCACTGCAAAAGATCCCAAAACAGCACCCACAATGTACTTGGCCGCCATGTCACACTGCAACGATTTATAAATTGACCCAATGAAAGAAAAAATAGTTATTCAACAAATTCCAAAAAGCTCATCATATACCAAAATTAAATAGCAGACAGTGGAAATTGTGCTAAAATGGGGGGACAGATGGAAATGTAGAAGTTTGCCCACAAGGAACATAGCAAGAAAAGGATTCCTAGAATGAATAATAAAAGCACCAAATTTACCACTCAGGGGCTTAGCAATTTAGAGGGAGAATACAGAAAGAAAGCCAAGGTCCCATTTGAATATTCTTTTTTGTTTGGTACCCAGTCCCAATCCAATAATTTTAGCAAAGGAAGACAATCTGTATGGTTGATTCTCTAGCTAAACAAGGGGTCAATAGGGGACAGTTGTACTGGGTTATCTATAAATGGTTGTATTGTGGAGAGGTAGGTATATTCACCTCCCCTTGGGGTCCTATTATGTACATATATTCTGTTTATATTAATGAACTTTACTACTTGTTACCTATAAATAAATAACACACACACACAAAACCTGTATAGCCTGCAAAAGGAGATGCCAGTGCAGCGACTACACCAACCACACCTCTCTAAAAAAGAAACATGGTTCTTAAACATTCATATCCAATAAAAAGAATACCTTAGTGCAGTGATCTAAAAGGCACGCCTCAGAACCACAGGCAAGCGCATTTCAGGGTATGCACCTCGCCTAGGTCCTAGGTGCAGCCCTTTAAAAAGGTGTACGCCTGGTGCACCTAGGCGTGTGCCTTCTGAAAATTTAATGCTTTTTTGCTTTTTTTGGACATAGCGGTTGGGCCTAACATGGACTTGTTTGGGCTTGCCTCGAGGGGCGTGGCACAAAGGCGGCTTGTAAAATCAGGAATGTAATATGTTTTACGTTACATTAGCTACGTGAAGTAATGCAATTGAGTGAAAAAAGAGATTAGAGGTTTTAAATGCTTGAAAACGTTTTATATGTTTGATTTTATTTTTAAATTCTCATTTGAATATGTTTTACATCTTATGTTTATGTATTTTAATTTTAGATAATAGGTTTTCTAAAACATTATTTTAAAATTTAAGTTTATATTTTTATTAATATTGTGTAATATTTTTTTTGAATTTTTTGGCATTTTTTTGAATTTTCTGACATTTTTTTAGCATTTCTTTTTATAATTTTGTGCCTTGCTTCAAAAAGGCGCGCACCTCGCCTTGCGCCTTGCACCTCAGGTGCAAATTGACCCCTGCACCTTTTTTGCACCTTGCACTTTTAAAACACTAACCTAGTGGTATAGTAGTATTTCAATGACTTTTTTTATTTAAGCCAATGTTTTTTTGATAAATTTTACTTATTTAAGCCAATATTATACAACACTAAACATTTTTCATGAAATAAAAGTAGAAATATCAATAGATCCAAAGCACCCGGTCCAGATGGCTTCACAATGACTTTTTATCAGGATTGTTGGGATGTGGTTAAAGAAGATCTTATCCGGGTGTTTTAGGAGTTTGCAAATAAGAAAAAGGTAAGCCCTGGAGTTAATGCCACTTTCGTAGCCCTAATCCCAAAGAAGATAGATGCAAAGGACCCTAAGGAGTACAGGCCGATTAGTTTAGTAACAAGCATCTATAAAATCCTGGCCAAAGTGTTGTCTTTAAGAATTCGAGTAGTACTACCTCCATCATTAGTCAAGCACAAGGTGCTTTCATGTAGGGAAGGCAAATAACAGATCAGATCCTAATAGCAAATGAATGTGTGGAGGACATGAGAAAGTCGGGGAATCAAGGTTTTGTATGTAAGTTAGACTTAAAGAAGGCTTATGATCTTGTGGACTGGAGTTTTTTACTAGAGGTCCTTGGATGCCTTGGGTTTGGAGATAGATGGTGCAACTGGGTAAAGGGTTGTTTTAGCTCCTATCATTACTTAGTCTTGATGAATGGGGTGGTCAAAGATTTTTTCCCAGCTTGTAGAGGACTTAGACATGGTGACCCACTCTCCCCGTTTCTTTTCACCTTAGTTGCAGATGTCTTCCATAGATTAATCACTAAGGTAGATAGGGAAGAGGAAGTGAGTGGTTGGAGGATAGGAAGGAACAATATCCGGATAACCCACCTACAATTTGCTGATGATATCATAATATTTTATGAAGGGGGTGACAGGCAAAAAGTGAGGAATCTCAGAGCATTGCTACAACACTTTGAGGAGGTCTCCAATTTGAAGATAAACCTAGATAAGAGTTGTATGGTAGGTGTTAATATGAGGGTATTATTCAGTCTGTGGCAGATTGTTTAGGTTGTTCCGTCTCTTCTTGGCCATTGTAGTACTTAGGTCTCCTTCTAGGGGCTAACCCAAAAGAGAGTAGTTTCTGAACCCCAGTGTTGGAAAAGTTTGAGAAAAGATTAACTTCCTGGAAAAAGAACTACATCTCTATAGGGGGTAGAGCGACTTTATTGAGAGCTACCCTAGCAAACCTACTGGTCTATTTTCTCTCCGTTTTCAAGATTCCTAATAGGGAAGCTAAGAAGTTGGAGAGATTAATGAGAAATTTCCTTTAGGAGCCAGGGGAAGAAAAGAAAGGCCACCTAATCAACTAGGAAATGGTTTGTAGGAGTAAAGAGGAAGGTGGCTTGGGACTAGGAAGGTTAACTCTCAAGAATAAAGCTCTTTTAGGAAAATGGTTGTGAAGAAGGCCTAGAGAAAGGGAGAGGTTGTGGCATGAAGTGATAGCTAGTATACATGGTAGACTGGAAAAATGGATGGGATGCGGGTGTATCACGTCAAGCTACGTTGGCATCTCCTTGGAAAGCAATCCAGAGTATCCTCCCTCAATTTCTCAACTTTGTCAGGTATGATGTCAATTCCGGCATCTCTGTTTTATTTTGGGAAGACACTTGGGTGGGTACTATTGCCCTTAAGGACCAATTCCCATCTCTCTATTCTATTGGAAAAAACAATCTATCATTTTCTCCCATCTCCTATTTCACCCCACTCCTTAAGTTGGGACTTTGGCTTTCGAAGATGCTTGAGGGATGATTAACTTAACAGTGTTTCAAGTCTATTGTCCCTTCTTGGCAGTGTCTTTCTGGACCCTCTTAGCTTGGATGTGAGATTATGATCTCCTCACCCAAAAGGCTACTTCATTTGTGCTCCCTTTTTTAAATCTCTTTGCTCTTCCCAGGGACAGTGGGATTTTCCAAACAAGGAGATATGGCCTAAACCGGTTCCACCTAAAGTTATTATTTTCTGTTGGGAGGTGTTTTATAGGAAGATTAATACCTTGGACTGCTTGCAGAAGAAAAGGCCTTCTTTGTGTTTGTCCCCTAACTGGTGCGTACTTTGCAAGGCTAGTGGTGAGGATTGCTCTCACTTACCTGCATCTTGTTCCTTTTTTGATGCTATTTCGAGTTGGATTTTCTCTTTGTTTGGAATGCAGGTGGAATCTGTCCACAACTTTAAGTCAGTTGTTTGATCCTTCCTTTTTTGTGTGGCTTACAAAAAAAGGAAAAATAATGTGGAGATGTATTAGAGAAGCTGCCTTGTGGACAATCTGGGAAGAAAGGAATGCAAGGGTATTCAAGGAAAAGGAAAAAAGCATTCAGGCTGTTGAGGACAGTATCTTGACTAGGGCCATTCATTGGTTAAGAACTATGGACTTATTTCATACATTCTCCTTTGATGATTTTTTGAGAAACTGGATAGTGGTGGCTAACAGCCATACAAGGAAGGACAGGGAATCTGTAGTGTGGATGCCTCCGCCTAAAGGATGGGCAATGCTGAACTTTGATGGAAGCGGCCAAGGAAACCCAGGCCCATAGGGGATAGGAGGGGTGCTGAGAGATAAGGAGAGCAAAATATTAGAATTGTTTTCAGGCCCCGTGGGAATAGGAGACTCAAATAGAGCAGAGATGTTAACGGCGGTACAAGGTATTCAGATTACAGAACAATTAGGAGTTCAGCACTTGGTCGTTGAAGGGGACTCTAAGATTGTTGTGGGATGGCTGACAGACCCAACTTCAACTATGTGGCGACACAGAGACCTGTTAAGGAAAGTCAACTGGCTCATAAGAAACATGACTGTTACCTCTCTTTGGGTGGGAAGACCAACAAATACCTTAGCGGATGGGCTAGCTAAGCAAGGGGCTTGTAGGGAATGTTTATTTTGGACTGCTCTGTAATTCTATTTCTGGTTATTTCTGTTTTTAAATTGATGTAATACTTGCTGGAAGAGGTAACAACTCGTGCCTCCTCTAGGGTCTCCTGTATTGCCTCATATTTCTGGTTTAATATATTATATTCATTCATAAAAAAAAGGGTAACTGGCTATAGTGTGTGTGTATATGTCTGTGTATACGAGTGCATCTATCTATAATATATAAAGGGGATACTTGCTGTGGTTTTTGTGCAGTTCATAAAAATTAAATCTGATAACATATCTTTACCCTTTACTTGCACGCGTGCATAGCACATGCCCTTGCACTAGTTTAATAAAATGGAATACATCTACAAGGAGTTGCCCAATTGAAGCAACAAAAAAATGCCACCCACAGTCAGAGGGGGGGGAGTCTTAAGACATGGCTTAAACACAACACAAGAACCCATTGATGTAGATTTTAACGATAGATAAATCCAAAAGAAAAATACATCCAGCAGCCAATTACAAACTACTGACATAGCAGGGCCATTTGGCCCCACAAGAAACCTAGAATAAAGGACAATCTATATGTCTACATTTTTTTATCTCGTGTTTGGGTTGGGGGAGGGGGAATTAGGGGGATAAGCTGTAAACGGGTCAAATTCAGAATGGTATACCTAGAACCAAAATTTGATACAATTACATGTTTAGTATATTATGATTTTTCTTTCAATCTGCTTAATTGGATTCCAATAAGACTTGACTTGAGTTTCTTATATCATAAGAATTGAACAGCTAAGTCAATTGGAAGCTCAAAAGATACAGTAGGAATTACAGAAATTTTAAATCAAAACATAAAGTGAAAAGACAAATGATATAGGAAGAGTCGAAGAGAGAAGTCCAATCCCTAATCTCTCCGCTTCAAAGCCTTTGCTAAAGGAAACAAAGGAACAGCTCAGGACCCAGTTTCCATTAGCAGAAACGAAAAGAAAAATGAAAGGGCCGGAGCCACTTCTGGTTGCAAAATAAAATGAAAGAGGGTTGCGTCGCCTTATCCGTTTGCAGAGAAGAAGAAGGAAGAAAGTTCCTTACCAAGTTTGGATCAATGGGATTCCCAAGCTTCTTGGCTACGGAAGAAATTCGATGAAAAACCACAGTGAAACCCTACTTTTTTTTTTTTCTTTTTAAAATATCACAAATTTCTTCCATAAATATAGCTACGTGGCTGCGGCTTTAACACGTGTAAAAATATGACTGAGAGTACTGAGTGGGAAGCCGTATATGCTCCTCACTCACGGCGCCGTACACCGACCTCACATACACATCTCACCGTTCCCAATGCAGGGTGGGATGTGTGTGAGGAGAAGATCCCAATTCAGTGAGAGTGGTTGATGTTCACATCTGCCACGATTCCTGCAAAACCTGGAGAATAAGAAAATGAGGTGAGAAAGGGCAATATGTAAAAAAATGGAGCCTCTTAAAACCTGTTGAAATGGCTGAAAAGTTTTTCTTATAGCTTTAACCCATGTAAGCAAATTAAGTGAGGATGAGTGTTGCATGTTACATTGCAAATTTTTTTTTTTTTTTTGACATATTACAAAAACGTACAATGTTCATTTCCCATAAGAAACGACTGAAATACAACTTTTTCTCTTCCTTTTAATCAATGAAGTGCTTGAATGGTTCTTAGAACTTGATCACTTTTTTTCTCTACTTTGGGTAGGGAAGAGATGTTGTAATAAAGATATTTTAATGATTTGTTGTTGTAGTATTGAAGGACATTATGGATATGTTATTAGTTGCAATGTTAGATTATAGATCTTAGATAGCATTTGATGAGTGATATCGATTTCCAATTGTGCTGCTTTCTTCCTCTTGGTGTTTCTCTCTTGAGTAGAAAAGAGCATATTGATTTATCAATTTTAAAGGGTTTAAGCATCAGATTTTAAAACTGTATTTAGTTTTCCATTAATGAACAGATACATTATCAGTATTTTTTTTTTTGAATCATATGCTAATAGATGCTAGAAATTCAATTAGTTTTTTAATTACTTATATTAATTTTTTCCTTCATTTTTAATCTCCCAAATATTCAATCAAGAATCATCCAAGATTGCGCCCATAGCTTTCCATATAACACTCGCCCTGCATATGCATAGCAAGGCCTCGCACGCTAGTTGTTTTTTTCTAAATGAATCATCGTTAAATCTATCACATTAGCTTTATCTTCAATATTTCCTCTTTTTTTTTTGACAAGTAGCAACTAACGGGGTGTTTGATAACATGGTTGGTTTTGTATTTGAAAATAAAAACAACTGTTGCATTAGCAAAAACTGATGTGACAGTTGTTTTTGTTTACAAATTTGATACAATCAAATCTCCCATGCCAATGAGAAGATGCCACGTGGTGCATCTCTAAGGATACTATCGACATTTTACAGACCTCGAAGGGAATAATAGAAATTTCCTGTTCTTCTTGTGTAACTTGGTCTCTACCTCATGGCTTCTTGATTCCCAACTGGAATATGACGTAACTGAGTAATTTGTTGAATAGATTTGCCTAAGGGTGTTTTCAAAAAAAAAAAATGTTAGAGTGATGTTTGACCACAAGGTGCTAGCTCGGACAATATGGGAAGATGTTATTGAGTCTCTCAGCTTACATTCAATAATCATATGCAAAGGGAGAGAGGGTATGGCTCTCTTATGCACTTATACCTATTCATTGGCACTTTCCCCACCTTGGCATATAGGGATGGCAATAGGGCAAGTTCATGGAGAGTTTTGTAAATTCTAGACTCCACCCGTCTCTCTAAACCTCCCAATCCGTACCCTTCCCAAAACTCATAGCATGTTAGATTTTGAGAATCCAAATCCTCTTTGCATATGAAAATGCAAAACCCTTCCTGACCACCCTCCCATAGAGAGTGTGGGGTGGATCAGATTGGCAGGTTGAGTCTAGAACTTGGCAACCTGCATCTAATTTTTTATTGTTTCTTGTTATATATAAGAAATAAACAAATAAAATAGCATGGACAAACATCAAAATTCACAATTATTTAATTAAACATGTAAAAATACGTAAACTATTAATTATCCTTTACATAAAATTCAAAATATTATTATAGTCAGCATATAGTACATAAGTTCATATGCCTTCCAACAATATGTGGGTTGGGAAGGGTCAGGTTTAGCCTAGTACCATATCCTACCTTAAAGGTTCGAAGCAACAAAAACAAGACCAACCATGTTGTTAAACACCCCATAACGGTTTTTTGATATTTGAAAATAGTATTAAATCTTAATTTTTGTTTGTTTACCATGCAAATTTCTGTACTCGTGCAAATAAGTTCACTTAAATTGTGCTCTATTTTTGTTTTAGGTTATACATAGTTTCTTTTGTTTGTTTTGGAGGAATACAATTGAAAGAAAATGATGTGATCCCCACCTTATATGAGGGTAAATGAATATATAAGGAAGGTTGTTTGTACGAAATGAGTAGAATGGGACGTAAATTGATGTGGTTCTACTTTTTCAACCGGAGGAAGGCGGTGCAAGTTTTACATTAGTTTTTGAAGTGCAATATTTGCAATTCTATCCATGCAAATGAAACAAAAGGTGCAAATTATGCATAGACAAGGGTTCAAATCATATTTACAAACACTCGTGTAAATTTAAATCAGATACAAAATTTACATATACTTTGAATTTTCATAGAACCTAACTTGATACAGCTTCCTCTTGTATTAGATCATATTTTCTTACCTATGATATAAGTATTTCCTTCATCTACCAAAAAAAAAAAAAAACTTGATACTAGTGCTTTCAACTTGTCCTTGACTCAAATGGTTGAAATTGTTTGAACTACCTGCTATTTATTTTGGTTTATGATGAAGGAGGATTTGGCCCGACCTCTTGACCACTCAACACGTGGCAGAAGTAACAACTCGGCACGGCAGTACGTTCAAGGCGCGAGCTCCGAGAGGAGGAACCAGCGGTCCGAGCTCCCCAAAAGGAGACCGAACTCTCCCTTTGACCCCGAGCCTTACGAGGAGCGCAAAGGGCAATAACCCGAACTGGCCCACCCCAGGGTAGTTTGGGCCACACCTCTGTCCGAACTCAAGACTTCACCTCGCACACCAATCCAACACTTTGTCTCCAGGCCGCCGAACTAAACAACCGTACCTGACCTGACACCAAAGGAGTCTGTATCCTGAGGCGGCGCACCTGACTGACTTAGGGTCTGACGCTTGACAACCACACTTCAACGGTCCCCTGCCACCGCCACCTCCAGTCACAGAAACGGCTCCGACAAAGAGAGTAGTGGCGGKTGTCTGCCCCAGCAGAGGTGATGACACCCGAACTGGCAGAAGTGTAGAGGTAATGATACCCGGCCTGACAAGAGCTTGGGAGTGAGTGCGCGAAGTGGTTATAAAAGGTTTTCTTCCCCCCAAGAAGGGGGTAGGTGATACCTTTGCGCCATCTGGTTTTTTATCTTGCCTTTGAGGAAATACTAACTTGAGCTTCGGAGCACTCTCACCGGGTTCCTCCCCGGAGATTACTCGCTTTCTTCTCCGTTTCAGGCACCTTTCGCTTCAGCCAGAGGCAAGATCGTTGACAGCTAGGACCGGCCGGATTGCGCTCCATTAGTTTAGTTTCCCTAAATCAGGGGTTTGATAAAAAATCGTTGATATGGTCATAATCTGACTATTTATTTTGGTTTAGTTTCCCTAAACCTGAGGTTTAATAAAAAATCGTTGACATGGTCTTAAACTGTCTGACCTTGGTGATAGAGCCATTGATCTGTTTAATCCATTCACTAGGTCACAGGTTGCGTACCCAATATATGTTCAAACTTTTTGAGGCCATAGCTTTGCACTCAATTGTATGGTTTAGCTAATCTTTATATCGATTTGGAGTAACTTTTCAAGATATATGCATTCCAACGATCTCCCTTTTTTGGTCTCAAATCCCAAAATTTAACATTTTTATAAATAAAAAATAAAAATAAAATATAAATATAAATTAAACATAAAATGATACATATATTATGTGTAGAATATATACATATATGTTTGTATCTATGTATATATGCTGACATGTCATAGTTTGACATGGTTGGTTAAACCATTGATTGCAACATGGAGGCATTCAGCCTCATAGTCTTAATTTTAAAACACTTATCCAATTACTTTTTTTTACTAAGCTCAGTTTGGAAAGAGTACAAATATAAATATATATAATGCAAATACATAGAAAATAATACAAAATATAAGGTTTTGCATTAGGCTTAATTTGCTTGTAGTGGTGTAAATGCAAACGAGTGTAAATGGTTGAATGCAAATTCTGGTTTATTTTGCTTTTATCTTATTTGTTTGTGGGAAATAAAATAGGACATGGAGGGCAAGAGGATGAGAGTGGGGACAAATAGGAAATGGCCGGGTTAGCTACCCCACTACATGAGAGTGGGGACAAATTTTGCATTAATTCTTGAGATGCAAAATTTGTATTACCAATGAATTTTGATGAAGGGAAATTTGGCCCGACCTCGCGATCACCCGACACGTGGCAAAGGCAAGCAGCTCGGGACAGTAGAGCGCCCAAAGCGAACATCGGAAGCAAGTCCAAGCTCACTACCGAACCCGAACTCCAGACCGCTGTACTTAGTCCGAGCTCCTTGTTGAGAGCGAGCTTCCTGTTAAGGGTGCGAGCTCCCTATTAAGAGCAAGCTCCCTACTAGGAGCCCGAGCTCCTTATTAAGAGCGAGCTCCCTAAGAACCCGAGCTCCCTAAGTCCAAGCTCCCTACTAGGAGCCCGAGCTCCCTGTTAAAGGTCCGAGCTCCCTAAGTCCGAGCTCCCTACTAGGAGCCCGAGCTCCCTGTTAAGAGCAAGCTCCCTGTAAAGGGTCCAAGCTCCCTATTAAGAACAAGCTCCCTACTAGGAGTCCGAGCTCTCTATTAAGAGCGAGATCCCTACTATGAGCCCGAGCTCCCTGTTAAGAGCGAGCTCCCTATTAAGAGCGAGCTCCCTACTGAGAACCCGAGCTCCCTGCAAGGAGCCCGAACTATACTGGGCCCCAAGCCTCACAAAGCTGACCCGAGCTGGCCCACGG